AAAAAGGGAGCAAGGGCAAGCACACACAAAAACTACCTCAGAACCCACAACCTATCACACCCAAACCCCAAAATCAATTTCAATCCATACCCACAGCTTCCACCCAAACCCCCAACCATAGAAACCCCCCATTGCTAAAGGTCTCCCCCCTCACAGGCCCCCCAAAAAACTGGATGGAAAGGAAACTGAAAAGGGATGGTACACAAACGTGATGGCATAACAAAAAATGGGGGAGTGGCAGAAAGAGTCAAAGAGGCATCACCGGGCATCATAGCTCTCACAGAAACCCAACTTACAGGGAGATAACAGTGCCATCTTTCCAAGGGATACCAAAATCCCGAGGAAAGACAGAGGGAAAAAGAGGGGGGGGGAGGAGTGGCATTGCTGATCAAAAAACGCTGGAAAAATTTTGTGAGCTGGAGAGAGGAGACAGCGGAGAAGAAAGTGATTACATAGCGGGAACGCTTCACTCTGGAGGTCCCAAGGTGGTAATAGCAGTGATGTATAACCCACCACAGAACAGCAGGAGGCCAAGGCAAGAGTACAGCGAGAGCAATAGAGCGATGGTTGACACACTGGCTAGAGTGGCCAGAAGAGCTCATGCATGCAGGGCAAAGCTCCTGATCATGGGTGACTTTAACCATAAGGAGATCGATTGGGAGAACTTGGACCCGCAAGGGGGCCAAGATACGTGGAGGGCTAAGATGATGGAGGTGGTACTGGAAAACTTCATGTACCAACACGTAAGGGACACTACAAGAGAGAGAGGGGTCCAAGATACATGGAGGGCTAAGATGATGGAGGTGGTACTGGAAAACTTCATGTACCAACACGTAAGGGACACTACAAGAGAGAGAGGAGAGGATGAACCAGCAAGGCTAGACGTAGTATTCACCTTGAGTAGTGCAGATATCAAGGACATCACATATGAAAGACCCCTTGGGGCCAGTGGCCATGTGGTTTTAAGCTTCGAATACACAGTAGAGCTACAAGTGGAGGGAGAAGCAGGAAGGCCAGGATGAATGAAGCCAAACTACAAGAAAGGGGACTACACAGGAATGAGGAACTTCCTGAACAGGGTTCAGTGGGACAGAGAACTGGCAGGGAAGCCAGTTATTGAGATGATGGAATATGTAGCAACAAAATGCAAGGAAGCTGAGGAGAGGTTTGTACCCAAGGGTAACAGGAATAATGAAAAATCCAGGATGGGCCCATGGTTTTACCCAAAAGGGTAGGGGGGAAAAAACCAAGTGTGCTGGGGAAGGGAAAGAAAATAGAAGGCAAAAAACCCCAGGGAGAATAAGGAGAGCTTTCGTAGACCAAAAACGAAGCACGATAAAAAGGGGGGCCCCAAAAGACATATAAAAATGACATGAGCAAAAGCCAAATCTGCCCCGAACTTTATGACAGCCACTCAGGAGGAAAAAACACTCAAGGCCCAGGAAATTCAGGCTAAGGAAGGAAAAGGAAGAAAACAAGAAATCCCGTAAAAAGTATTTTTGGGAACTCAATAAAAATTCAAAAAAGTGTTCACGAGGGGGACAAAAGGGGGGCTCCAAAAAGGACGGAGAGGTGGGGCACCCCACCATGTGTGGCACAGGCACAAAACCCGGGGGAAGAAGTGAAGAGGCTTCTGAGTGAGCTAGTACCTAAAAGCAGGGGGGGGGAAGATACCTCCCCCAGGGTATTGAGAGGGGGAAGCAGAGGCGTATGTTCCCTAACAACAATATTAAAACATTATCAAAACGGGGTTTCCCTGAGGCTGGAAACAGAAAATTGCCCCAATTTTTAAAAAAAAAGGAGACGGGACATAAAGCATTAAAACAAAAGCCGTGTCACTGCATGAAAGTATGCAAAATAGGGAGAAGTTATAGGAGAAGATGGGGGAACACCTAGAAAGGAAGATCTCATAAACAGCAGTACATGGTTTTAGGGAGGGGAAAAACCCTTTTAAAACCCCTGGAGTTCTTACTGGTGGCAACATAAGACAAGAGAGAGGGGGTGGGGGGATTGCAATTCTTGGGGCTGCAAAAAGGGGTTTTTTACCAGTTCCCACAAAAGGGTTGGTGCAAAAATGGGGACCAAGCGGGATAACAGGGAAGGCATACAATGGGTCAGGGGAAAATTTTCAGGAAGACAGCAGCGAGTAGGGACGGGCGAGGTGTCAGGTGGGGGACCCGTGACCAGGGGGGGCCCCAGGGGCAGTCCTAGGGCCCCGTGCTGTTTCTGGTATTTGTGAACGAATGACGGAAGAATAGACTCTGAGGGTTTCCCTGTTTGCAGATGACGTGAATTGATGAAAGAATTCACTCGATCGAAGACCGGCAGAATACAAAAGGGTCTGGAAGGGTGCAGACCTGTCCCGCAATTTGGGTCCTGGAGTTCAATCCCCCCAATGCAAAGCAGAAAATTTGGGGAAAGGGAAAGAAAACCGCAGACGGGTACAGCTAGGGGGCCAGAGCTACAAACCTCAAGGAAAAAAATCTTGGGTGAGTATAAAACCAGGCACATCTCCTGAAGCGCACATCAACCAAATAACTGCTGCAGCATATGGGCTCCTAGCAAACCTCAGAACAGCATTCCGACATCTTAATAAAGAATCGTTCAGGACCCTGTACACCGTGTACGTTAGGCCCATATTGGAGTATGCGGCACCAGTTTGGAACCCACACCTAGCCAAGCACGTAAAGAAACTAGAGAAAGTGCAAAGGTTTGCAACAAAACTAGTCCCAGAGCTAAGAGTTATGTCCTACGAGGAGAGGTTAAGGGAAATCAACCTGACGACACTGGAGGACAGGAGAGATAGGGGGGACATGATAACGACTTACAAAATACTGAGAGGAATTGACAAGGTGGACAAAGACAGGATGTTCCAGAGATGGTACACAGTAACAAGGGGACACAGTTGGAAGTTGAAGACACAGATGAATCACAGGGATGTTAGGAAGTATTTCTTCAGCCACAGAGTAGTCAGTAAGTGGAACAGTTTGGGAAGCGATGTAGTGGAGGCAGGATCCATACAAAGCTTTAAGCAGAGGTATGATAAAGCTCACGGTTCAGGGAGAGTGACCTAGTAGCGATCAGTGAAGAGGCGGGGCCAGGAGCTCGGACTCGACCCCCGCAACCTCAACTAGGTGAGTACAACTAGGTGAGTACACACACACACATACACACACACACACACACACACACACACACACACACACACACACACACCACACACACACACACACACACACACACACACACACACACACACACACAACACGCACACACACACATACATTCACACAAACAGCTGCACTTAGCTACAGAGGAGACTGTAAGATGTTTATTATACTTTCCCCACAAATCTAGAACAACTGCTAGAAAAGCTGTCACGAATAATATGGAAAATACTACACTGTATCAAAAACAGTAAGAAACAAGTAAGATATGTTGGCGAGAAGTGCGACAAGTGGGGTTCGACAAGGATCAGTACAAGGACCAATGCTGAGTAAGTAGAAGACATGAGAAAAAGAAATCAGCCACAGGTGTTCGTGTTTTTAAATGATGTGAAACTTTTAAGGAAAATACAATCAGGAGTAGATCAAAAAAGACTACAAATATATCTGGACAAACTGCCGGACAAGTGTGAGAAAATAGTTTTTAGAATTTAAAACTCCGAAAAAGCCCCATTTATAAAAATCGGAGAAAGGAAAAAACGACCCCAAAGTAAAGTACAGGCTTGGGAACAAAAAACTCCCAGTCTCTAACAGAGAAGCATTAAAGAGAGCATAATCACAAGCGTTCATTTTGGGAAAAATGCATAAAACCCTAATAACACGAAGAAAAACGCGAGGCCAGCAAATTTAAGAGAAAAGGTTTTGGTTTAAACCTCAACGGGGAAGGGGGCATTCACCCCCCTTTAAATTTTATATGTCAAACCATCTCAAAGTAAGCAACTCTAGTATAAAAACCGTTTTTCTAAATAAAAAGTAAAAACATATAAAGCAGCAGGAAAAATGTGCGGGGGTTTGCTTCAACGCTGATACCCCAGTGCTGAAGGGTATCAGCTATGAGGAAAGGTTAGAAGAACTGAACCTGAAGACATTACAAGACAGAAAGATCAGACGTGATATGATTACGACGAAGAAAATACTGAGAGGAACTGACAGGGAGAACAGGGCAAGTCTGTTTGAGAGGCGGATCTCAGGTACACGAGGGCACTGCTGGAACATAAAATACAGTTTGGTGAGAGGGATCTTCGGAGACACTTCCTTAGCCTTAGAGTGGTCAGGAAGTGGTACGACCTAGACGCTGAAGTGGTAGAGGCGGATTCATACACAACTCTAAGAATAAGTATGACAGAGCTCAAGTAGCCAGGTAAGATAGTGAACCAAGTAACCACCAGGAGAGAGGAATAGGCAGGAACCGAGACACGACCCCTGCAATCATATACAAGTGAGCACACACACACATGGGCTGTGACTCGACCCTTACAACCACATATAAGTTAGTCAAACACACACACACAAACGCGCTTACATGAGTACATAAAACAGAAGCACAAAAACGCAAAATATTTAATTTAAGATAACTAACTTAAAATGATTTTAACATATTACACTGTGTATTTTTTTTTTTGTTGTTGATTATTGTCTTTAAGTATGGCTGTGAAAGATTTAGGAGGAGTCCAGTATAAATATTTTCTCATTAGATAATGTGAAATCTGAAATGTGAATCTCATCTAAGAATCTTTATAATAATAATATTACTTATATAATAATAATATAATAGTAATAATAAATCCTATTATTATTAGTAGTCGTATACTATTATTATTATTATTATTATTATTATTATTATTATTATTATAACTAAAACTGATAATACTAATAAAATTATTAAAAACAATAAAATTGGTAATGAAAGTATTTCTAATAATAATAATTATTATTATTACTATTAATATTCGTCAACCACATAATTTCATTTCTGAAGTGCGTTTGAATTTTTAGCATTGAACATGTATCGCCTACTTCCCGTGAATGCAATAGACTCAGCACCACCATCAGTGGATACAACAGTCTCAAC